CAATCTAATGGGTTTGTGATTTTGTAACGATGTGGCATAACTATAAAGTTAATAATTTTAACTCCATGCGTTTAAGATTTTACAATGATACACCAATTTAAGGTGGCTAACTGATGATGCTAAGGTTATGGGTGACCATAGTGGTGTAGTGCATGCACTTGGTTTTGGTAGAAATGGAATCGAGGCTCTAGAAAGCCTAGTTGTCCTTAAATGAAAAGAATGAAAAAGTCTTAGAAAAGAATCTTCTAGATTCTACAGACTATATTCGGACCATTATTGGTTCGAATAACTTTTCCAGACAAACAGAGATCTAAATATCATGCATAGTATACCTTTTTTTTCTTTTTTTTTTTTACTTTACACCATGAACCATGCACTATTTGCTGTACTCGAGTTCAAACAACAACATCTAAAGGCCTTAAATACCTTAAAACTTATATTTAAAACTAACAATAATAATCCAAAGGGCTCAAGAAAGCCTAATTGTCTTTAAATGAAAAGAATGAAAAAGTCTTAAAAGAGAAGTTTTTAGATTTTATGGACTGTATTTGGACCATTGTTGGTTCAAATAACTTTTCCAGACCAATAGAAGTCCGAATATCATGCATAGTATACTTTTTTTTTTTTTTTTTGCTTTACACCATGAACCGCGCACTATTCGTTGTACTCTATTTCAAACAACAACATCTAAAGGCCTTAAATACCTTAGAACCTATATTTAAAACTAACAATAACAATCCAAAAGGCTCAGGAAAGCCTAATTGTCTTTAAATGAAAAGAACGAAAAAGTTTTAGAAGATAAGTTTCTAGATTCTAGTGGCTATATTTGGACCACTGTTGGTCTGAATAACTTTTCCAAACCAACAGTGGTACGAATATCATGCACAATATACTTTTTTTTTCCTTTAAACCTTAAACCGTGCCCGATCCATTGTACACTTGAACAACAACATCTAAAAGCCTTAAATACCTTAGAACCTATATTTAAAACTAACAATAACAATCCAAATGGTTTATGACTTTGTAATGGTGTGGCATAATTATAAAGTTAATAATCTTAACTCCACACGTTTAAGATTTTACAATGATGTTGCCTTATGTCATGGAAAACCAATTTCAAGTGCATGATTGATGGTGTCAGGGTTATGGGTGATTATTGTGGTATAGTACGTGCACTTGGACTTAGTAGAAATGGAATAGGGCTCCGGAAAGCTTGGTTGTCTTTAAATGAAAAAAATGAAAAAGTCTTAGAAGAGAAGCTTCTAGATTCGACGGACTATATTCAGACCACTTTTGGTCTGAATAACTTTTCCAGACCAACAACGGTCCGAATATCATGCACAATATAATTTTTTTTTTCCTTTACACCTTAAACCGTACTCAATCCATTGTACTCTCATGCAAACACAGCATCTAAAGGCCTTAAATTCCTTAGAACCTATATTTAAAACTAACATTAACAATCCAAATGGCTTGAGAAAGCCCAGTTCTCCTTAAACAATAAGAATGAAAAAGTCTTAAAAGAGAAGCTTCTAGATTCAACGGACTATATTCGGATTATAAAGTTAATAATCTTAACTCCACACATTTAAGATTTTACAATGATGTTGCCTTATGTCATGGAAAACTAATTTCAAGTGCATGATTGATGGTGTCGGGGTTATGGGTGATTATCGTGGTATAGTATGTGCACTTTGATTTGGTAGAAATGGAATCGGGGTTCGGGAAAGCTTGGTTGTCCTTAAATGAAAAGAATGAAAAAGTCTTGGAAGAGAAGTTTCTAGATTCTATGGACAATATTTGGACCACTATTGGTTTGGATAACTTTTCCAGATCAACAATGGTTCGAATATCATGCACAATATACTTCTTTTTTCCTTTACACTCTAAACCGTGCCTAATCCATTTTACTCTCACTCAAACAATAACATCTAAACCGTACTCGATCCATTATACTCTCATACAAACAACAACATCTAAAGGCCTTAAATACTTTAGAACCTACATTTAAAAATAACAATAACAATCCAAAGGGCTCTGGAAAGCCTAGTTGTCCTTAAACAATAAGAATGAAAAAGTCTTAGAAGAGAAGTTTCTAGAATCTGGTGGCTTTATTCGGACCACTATTGGTTCGAATAACTTTTCGAGAAAGCCTAGTTGTCCTTAAATGAAAAAAATGAAAAAGTCTTAGAAGAGAAATTTTTAGATTCTGCAAACTATATTCGGACCACTATTGGTCCGAATAACATTTCCAGACCAATAATAGTTCGAATATCATGCATAGTATACTTTTTTTTTTTTTCCTTTACACCTTAAATTGTGCCCGATCCATTGTACTCTCACTCGAACAATAGCATCTAAAGGCCTTGAATACCTTAGAACCTATATTTAAAACTAATAATAACAATCCAAAGGGTTTATGGTTTCGTAATAGTGTGGCATAAGTATAAAGTTAATAATCTTAAGTCCTTACATTTAAGATTTTACAATGATGCTGCCTTACGTCACGAAAAATCAATTTCAAGTGCTTGATTGATGGTGTTAGGGTTATGGGTGACTGTAGTGGTACAGTGCATGCACTTGGCTTTGGTAGAAATGGAATTGGGGCTTGGGAAAGCGTAGTTGTCCTTAAATGAAAACAATGAAAAAGTCTTAGAAAAGAAGATTCTAGATTCTAAAAACTATATTTGGACCACTGTTGGTCCAAATAATGTTTACAAACCAAAAACGGTATGACTATCATGACAGTATACTTTTTTTTTTCCTTTACACTTGAAACTGTGCCCCATCCATTATACTCCCACTCAAACAATAGCATCTAAAGGCCTTGAATACCTTAGAACCTATATTTAAAACTAACAATAATAATCCAAAGGGTTTATGGTTACGTAACGGTGTGGCATAAGTATAAAGTTAATAATCTTAACTCCTTGCATTTAAGATTTTACAATGATGTTGCCTTACCTTACGAAAAACCAATTTTAGGTGCTTGATTAATGGTGTAGGGGTTATGGGTGCCTATAGTGGTGTAGTACTTGCCCTTGGCTTTGGTAGAAATGGAATCGGGGCTCAAGTAAACCTAGTTGTCCTTAAATGAAAAGAATGAAAAAGTCTTACAAGAGATGTTTCTAGAATCTGGTGGCTTTATTTGGACCACTATTGGTTCGAATAACTTTTCGAGAAAGCCTAGTTCTCCTTAAATGAAAAGAATGAAAAAGTCTTAAAAGAGAAGTTTCTAGATTCTGCGGACTATATTTGGACCACTATTGGTTCGGATAACCTTTCCAGATCAACAATGGTCCAAATATCATACACACTATACTTTTTTTTTCCTTCACACTTTAAACCATGCTCAATCTGTTGTACTCTCACTTGAACAATAACATCTAAAGGCCTTGAATATCTTAGAACCTATATTTAAAACTAATAATAACAATCCAAAGGGTTTATGGTTTTGTAACGGTGTGGCATAAGTATAAAGTTAATAATCTTAACTCCTCGCGTTTAAGATCTTACAATGATGTTGCCTTACATCATGGAAAGCTAATTTCAAGTGATTGACTGATGGTACCAGGGTTATCGGTGACTATTGCGGTTCAGTGCATTCATTTGGCTTTGTAGAAATGGAATAGGGGCTCGGGAAAGCGTAGTTGTCCTTAAATGAAAGGAATGAAAAAGTCTTAGAAGAGAAGTTTCTAGATTCTACAGACTATATTGGGACCACTATTGGTCCGAATAATGTTTCCAGACCAAAAACGGTATGACTATCATGACAATATACTTTTTTTTTTTTCCTTTACACCTTAAACAATGCCCGATCATTGTACTCCCACTCAAACAATAGCATCTAAAGGCCTTGAATACCTTAGAACCTATATTTAAAACTAAAAATAACAATCTAAAGGGTTTATGGTTTCGTAACGGTGTGGCATAAGTATAAAGTTAATAATCTTAACTCCTCGTGCTTAAGATTTTACAATGATGTTGCCTTACCTCACGAAAAACCAATTTTAGGTGCTTGACTGATGGTGTCGGGGTTATGGGTGACTATAGTGGTGTAGTGCTTGCACTTGGCTTTGGTAGAAATGGAATTGGGGCTCGAGAAAACCTAGTTGTCTTTAAATGAAAAGAATGAAAAAGTCTTAAAAGAGAAGTTTCTAGAATTGGGTGGCTTTATTCTGACCACTATTGGTCTAAATAACTTTTTCGAGAAAGCCTAGTTGTCCTTAAATGAAAGGAATGAAAAAGTCTTAGAAGAGAAGTTTTAGATTCTACGGACTATATTCGGACCACTATTGGTCCAAATAACATTTCCAGACCAATAATGGTCTAAATATCATGCATAGTATACTTTTTTTTTTTCGCTTTACACCTTAAATTGTGCCCGATCCATTGTACTCTCACTCGAACAACAACATCTAAAGGCCTTGAATACCTTAGAACCTATATTTAAAACTAACAATAATAATCCAAAGGGTTTATGGTTTCGTAACGATGTGGCATAAGTATCAAGTTAATAATCTTAACTCCTTGTGTTTAAGATTTTAGAATGATGTTGCCTTATGTCACGGAAAACCAAATTCAAGTGCTTGACTGATGGTGCTGGGGTTATAGGTGGCTATAGTGGGACAATGCATGCACTTGGCTTTGGTAGAAATGGAATTGAGGCTCGAGAAAGCCTAATTGTCCTTAAATGAAAAGAATGAAAAAAATTTTAAAAAGAAATTTCTAGATTCTGTGGACTATATTTGGGCCACTATTGGATTAGATAACTTTTCCAGATCAACAATGGTCCAAATATCATACACAATATGCTTTTTTTTTTCCTTTACACCTTAAACCGTGCCCAATCCGTTGTACTCTCACTTGAACAATAGCATCTAAAGGCCTTAAATATCTTAGAACCTATATTTAAAATTAACAATAACAATCCAAAGGGTTTATGGTTTTTTAATGGTGCAGCATAAGTATAAAGTTAATAATCTTAGCTCATCGCATTTAAGATTTTACAATGATGTTGCCTTACATCATGGAAAACTAATTTCAAGTGCTTGACTGATGGTACCGAGGTTATGGGTGACTATACTGGTACAGTGCATGCATTTGGCTTTGGTAGAAATGGAATCGGGGCATAGGAAAGCCTACTTGTCCTTAAATGAAAAGAATGAAAAAGTTTTAGAAGAGAAGTTTATAGATTCTACAGACTATATTGGAACCACTATTGGTTCGAATAATGTTTCCAGACTAAAAACGGTATGAATATCATGATAGTATGCTTTTTTTTTTCCTTTACACCTTAAACCGTGCCCGATCCATTGTACTTTCACTCAAACAACAGCATATAAAGGCCTTGAATACCTTAGAACCTATATTTAAAACTAGCAATAACAATCCAAAGGGTTTATGGTTTTGTAACGGTGTGGCATAAGCATAAAGTTAATAATCTTAACTCCTCGCATTTAAGATTTTACAATGATGTTGCCTTAACTCACAGAAAACCAATTTCAGGTGCTTGACTGATGGTGTCGGGGTTATGGGTGACTATAGTGGTGTAATGCTTGCACTTGGCTTTGGTAGAAATGGAATCGGGGCTCGGGAAAACCTAGTTGTCTTTAAATGAAAAGAATGAAAAAGTCTTCGAAGCAAAATTTTTAGATTATGGTGGCTTTATTCGGACTAATGTTGGTCCGAATAACTTTTCCAGACCAACAATGGTCCAAACATCATATATACTTTTTTTTTCCTTTTACTCCTTAAACTTACCTGATTTGTTCAACTCTCACTCAAACAATAGCATCTAAAAGCCTTGAATATTGTAATATCCCAAATTTTTGGAAATTTTATCAATTAAGTTAGGGACTTATGTGTGAAAGAAATATTGTTTTGGGCTTAATAGCAAAATTTTCAAAGTTGAGGGATTAAAAAGAAAGGAAATTAGGATAAGGATCAGCTGCTTTCCTTTTCCTTTTTTTTTCCTTTCTTTCTTTCCTTCCTCACCAGCCCCGCGTGTCCTGCTCTTCTTCTTCCTCCCGACCCCTGCAACCCGAGAAGCTCCCCAGCCACCGCCACCCATTTCCGGTCGGGAATATCGGTAAAACTTGGGGATTTCTCCCTATTTTCTTGTTCTAGAACACCTGTTAAACCCAGAATTTTCCAGATCTGCGTTGCTCTGTGTCTTCCTCCCCTGCTGTCCGCGAGTTTCTGCTGTGTGGGGTGCGATTTCTGGACTTTTTTCGGGTAAGGAAACAGCCATGAATTCCTCTTTTCATCCTTAAATTGGCTTGGGTTCACTTTAATTTCCTTTGTTTCCTTCAATTGCCGGTGGTTCTCCTCCAAAAACCCATCGGTTTCCTTCCCAGCCAGAACCGGCCTTTACTTTCCGAAAATTCTGGTAAGTTGCCGACTCTTCCAAGTCCGAAATTACCGATTTAATTGCTGGGTTTTGCCCATTTAGTTAATGCTCTGTGTTGTCCGAAAATTTGTGGAAATAGGAAGAAATTTGGCAGCCATTTAAGTATGTAATTTTAGCTTTAATTCATGTAGAAATGGCTTGATTTGCTGCTGTGAATTTTCTGGAGAGAAAATCCCGTGTGTGTGAGTTGTGGGTTGCCAAGGCCATGCTCTCCATGTGCTGCCCGTGAGATTGGGGAAATTTTGGTAGCTTTAAGCTATGTTTTTAAGTGTGGTTTAAGTAGGAAATTAGCTTGAATTGGGTTGTTGTGATTTTGGAGAAAAATCCCGTGAGATTAGTTATTGTTTTGCCAATTTTGGAAGTTGAAGTTACTGTTCACAGATACTGTTCACACACTGAGTGCTAACAATTAACAGGATTTAAATGTTTAGTTTTTAATATAAGAATAAATTTGGAGATGTCCGGTTATGTGGAGATTGATAGAAATAGCACTGTGATTAGGGGTAGTGCTAATGATGATTTCACTTTGAATTTGTGGTAGTGCAATATTAATTGTGGAATATTGTGATTAGGTTTTGATTGTTTTGTTACTGTAGCACTTGGGTTAAGCCTTCGGTTCTGTGTGAGTGAGATAAGTAAATTATGGTAAAACCCTTCGATTTTAAAGCATGTTTTAAATTATTTTTGAGATGGTGGCGAGGTCTAAATTGATTTTATCAACATCTGAGTGTGATTAAATTGAAATGAAAATTGTGATGATTTTTATGAAAATTATTTGTTTTACTGGAATTGAGCATGATTGGAATTAAAATGAGGATTTCATTGTTTTTCTGGAGTAGAGCATGCCTATTTGGAATTGACTGAACTGCTTTGATGAACTGAGAATTTTGTAAGTTATGAATTTTCTGTTAAATCCATGCCCACATGGAATTTTCTAGTTATTTATGAAATTTGAGATCGATTGTGAATTACGGATTTTTTGTAAATTCTGCATGGTTTTGTCTCTGATATAGTCATAATTATTGACACCCGCTAGTGGGAGCTGCAAACGCTAGCACATGTCGACGTGTATTTCTATAGAACCGGTTCATCCTGCCAATGGGATAATACATTGGTAATTATTGACGCCTACCAGTGGGAGTTTATTAAACACTGGTACTACTGACGCTTGCCAATGGGCGAATACATTGGTAATTACTGACGCCTGCGAGTGGGAGTTGTTAAACACTGGTACTACTACTGTGCCCGCCAATGGGAGATTTATAAATGCTGGCCATGACCTATAGATGAGACTATTACTGAATTTTTCTTCTACATTAACGGTTTTGTCATTGAACGTTTTGCTATTGGACTGAATCTGATTTTGTTTTAACGGTTTATCACTGAACGGATTGTTATGTTAAACTATTTATCAGGCATGCTAAAATTTAAATAAGAGCTATCCATATTTTTACTTACTGAGATATTTTATCTCATAGTTTTCCTTGTCCACCATTTTAGGAAGCGAAACCAAGGACAGGGAAACCGAGGGGCGTGACGAGGTAGAAGGCTAGCCATTCTAATTGGATATAAGTTTTAGGTTTTATCATCCTTTTGTAAAGTAAATTTTATTTGTGAGATTTTGTGATTTGAATAAGTTCCGAGCCTTATGCACTTGTGGGACCCGTCTCATGAGTGCACAGCGTCTACCACATCCTCGAATTTGGGTTTTGGGGCGTGACAAATATCTTAGAACCTATATTTAAACCTAACAGTAACAATCCAAAGGGCTTGGGAAAGCGTAGTTGTCCTTAAATGAAAAGAATTAAAAAGTCTTAAAAGATAAGTTTTTAGATTCTAGTGGCTTTATTTGGACCACCGTTGGTCCAAATAACTTTTCTAGACCAAAGTGGTTCGAATATCATTCACAATATATATATCCTTTACATCTTAAATTGTGCCCAATTCATTATACTCTTAGTTGAACAACAAAATCTAAAGGCCTTGACTAGCTTAGAACCTATATTTAAAACTAACAATAACAATCCAAAGGGCTCGGGTAAACCTAATTTTCCTTAAATGAAATGAATGAAAAAGCTTTAAAAGAGAAGTTTGTAGATTTTGCAGACTATATTCTAACAACTGTTGGTTTGAATAAATTTTCTAGGCCAACAATGGTTCGAATATCGTGCACAATATACTTTTTTTTTTTCCTTTACACCTTAAACTGTGCCCGATCTATTGTACTCTCACTTAAACAACAGCATCTAAATGCCTTGAATACTTTAGAACTCATACTTAAAACTAACATTAACAATCCAAAGGGCTTGAGAAAGGCTTGTTGTCCTTAAACAAAGAGTGAAAAAGTCTAAAAAGTGAAGTTTTTAGATTTTGGGGGCTATATTCGGACCACTGTTGGCACGAATAAGCTTTCCAGACCAATAGTGGTCCAAATATTATGCACAATATACTTTAATTTCTTGTAATTATTATTAGAATGTGAAAGTTTCTTTAGAATAAATCTTGCTAGGAAGTGGACATCCAAGAAAAGCAAATATGCTAGAATAGAGGGATAATAATAACTAGTTTATAACAATATGATGTCATTATTTATAAATATATAAGTTTAACATCTTATTTATGAGGCCTACAAATGTGGTGTCCTGGGAGTAGTAGCGCCACTGGTAGAGGGAGGTGTTATGCCAAGCTGTTGGTACAGAAATTGTAAATTTTCAATTAAAGACATATTTGATGCTTGCATAGTAGCAAACTCAACTCTAGATGCCTCAATCTCAGCTTGGGATGCCTGTAGCTCAGCTTTAGTCTCCTATAACTCATCTTTCAATAATTAAACAATTTGTTGTAACTCCTCAACCTGGAGAAAGTGATGCATTATTGGGGGCCTCAAAGGCTTTCGCTTGGAACTGACACCTACATCATGTGGATGGGTGTGGATATCAAGACCTTTTAACCATCCCCTTTTCACGCCTCAGTTGCTCTCATTAATAGGTCACCATGGATTTGTGTTAGGTCAAATCCTTCTTCCCTTTCCTTAGTTGTATACTCAGATTCTAATTTTTCCTAAAATCATATAAAACACCAAAAACAATGTTAATATGAATATGGAAAAATCTATAATAGTCATGATAATATTATAAATTTCTAATTATCTCATAACAATGAAAAACCCAACAAAGTCAAAAGGAAAACCCACTTGGGATTCTGAAGATGAGTGCAAAATCCTTGATGATAATGATGATGAAGAAATTACTTAGAATAAATAATTTAAATAATTTTGATTAAGTCATACTAAATTTTAAAAAATTTGGCAGAGTCACCTTTAAAAATTGACCTTTTACCAACAAAATACACATGCCCACATTCAACATAATTTGTATAATAACACTATTCAAAACTATGTTTCCTTTATTCTAAAACAAACAACATATTAAAGTAAAGAATGATGGGATTCTTGTAGACATTGAGGAAGAAGGATTACGTAAATTTTGGCTCCTTGTTGGATGTGAAACCAATGTGGTTTGAATCAGGGGCAAATTCACCACTATCACCAAAACCTTAAATATTCCTATTCCTAGCCCTTGATTCCCCAATTAAATCACATATTTTTCTATGAAAATCTTGGAATCTAACAATATTTTTTGAAGTCAGAAATGGAAATTCATTTCCAGAAGCAAAATTCAAGAGTTTCGAGTAGCAAAGGTGCCAAATTCAAGAGAAGAAACAAGAGCAATAATATCTCATCTATTAGGGAAGATAAATAATAATACTATTCAAAACTAACTTCAATCCATTAATAAATAATTTCAATTTTTATATTTCATATTATTCAATACTTATGTTAATTTCCCTGGCCTCATCATTGCAACATGTGGGTAGTTGGTCTTTTCCTTTCGGTCAATGCTGCCTTCTACATGTGTATACCTCTAGGAATGAGGGTGGACGATCCATTGGGATCTGCACTTTGTTGTAATGGAAAAATTTACAAATTTTAAGACAAATATATATATTAATATAAAAATATTGTTAATAAACATTCAAAAACATGATTAACTTCTTTACCATTTTCTTCCTATATTTAGTAACATCCATAGACCCGCTAGTGTGTGTGACTTTTGGCCCTTTGGCCCGATTTGCCTTTGCAGTATTGGACTGTCTAATATGGTCTCCATCTTGAAAAATTAATGAAAATATTTTCATATGATATTAAAATAATTAAGCATTGCTATTGCCAATATTTAAAAATTTTAACACAATACTTCATTATCTCAGTCCATATATGAACAAGCTTCTGAAAGAGCTCAGGATTCATGTTTGTGGGCTTCACTTGAAAATTGTTTGCTGCACACTCTGTTTTCAGCTCATTTAACGCATGCTTAAATTTAATACTGCATATTTGACACCATAGTGTTTTTAATTTATCATGAATCTCTGGCTCCCATTGAAATTTTTACTGGGAAAAAAAAGCATGGAAATGTGTTAGAAATAATTACAAATATATTTTAAAATTAAATAAATAAAGGATGGGCCATACGCAAAACTAATTCCAATAATAATCTCGATGCTCTTCTGGAATGAATCCTCATGCAGTATAAGCATGTGGAAGATTATCCTTTAATTGCACAACAATTTCTTGCCTAATATCTTGCGAGATATTACCCCTATCGTTAAGCACCAATGAAATTTTACTACCATTTGTTGGCATTTTCATTGGTTTTGCCTTTTCCTGTCCCTTTCTTCGACGTGGTGTTGGCTCTATATCATCTGGATTGCTAGAACTATGAATAGTAGTATCATTTACAGTCTTAAGAACTATATTAGGTGTCGCATCCTCCCCTGTTCGACGTTAAGAATCAAATTGAGATTGACATTTATTGGGTTGAGATGCATCAACTGTCTCTATACATCGTGAACTACAATAGTCCAATGTAAAAATAATAAAAAGAAAAATGAGTTCATTAGTAAATTGACTTAATGACAATAGATTAAAATTAACATACCAAATAAAATAAACATTTTAAAATATTTGAAGTTTAAGGATGCATTTCGTTCAAAAAAAAGTTGAGGGACTAAATTGGATATTTAACCTATTCAATTGATTAAAATTAACATTTTAAATAAAATAAATATAATTATATGAATACAAACTAAAAATATCAACTAAATTATAATAAAAAAAAAACACAATACATGTAATATAATTATAGCATTTAATAGATTAAGATTAATATGCAAAATAAAATAAATATCATGATAGCAATAGAAAGCACCAAATATTAACAAAATTACACTTAGAAAACAAATATTATAAATAACATAGTTTTAGAAGTTCAAATAAGCAAATATAAACTTAATTTAATAACAACTAGTTTTGACAACAAATTCACCTACTCATTGTTACTACCATTTTCACAAATATAAGCTTCCATGTTTTCTTCATCGAATGTTTCAAAGTCTTCCCACTCCCCCTCATCATCCTCTTCTCCAATCTCTTCCCCATCATCAACTTCTCCATGAACTTCAACAAGTGTTCCATCATATTTATTGGGTGAGGAATAAGAGGGTGATCGTCCTGATAATGTGGTGTTAATCCTTTTTTGTGGCTAACCTCATTCTGTGGAGCCTCAATGATGCTCTTGACCCTAATTTTAAGGGTAGCAACACATCCCTTTCTTTAATGATTAATAGATGGGTATGGAGTGTAATACACTTGCTTAACTTGACTATCTAGAACAAAAGGCTCATAAGATCGAAGGTATGTTCTTGGATTACTGTCAACTAGTCGATGTTTTGGATTGACTCTAACCCCATGGGCTAGAGGAATCTCATACCAGTCACATTTGAATAAAACAACTACTTGTCGATGGATTGATCCAAAGTACTCAATCTAAATGACTTCCTGAAGCACCCTAAAGAAATTAGTCTAATTCAAATCCAATAGATCCCACAGCACAGACATTGTTATTCATTGTTCTCTTATTTTTACCATAGGCAGTAATGTGAAATCTAAATCCATTGACAATATATCCATTATAACATGAAATGGTACTCTTTGGACCACTGGATAAGCTTTATATATGCTCATGGACATTAATGAACTCATCACTTTTTACATGAAATAAACATATTTGGGAAAATAATATTAGATGTATTTGAAGGGAAACAACATATGTTGAGAAATTTAATATTGTCATATGGAATAATACTCATAGCTCATTCAAACCAGGAAACAAGATCTCCCTCTCATTTTGCTTAAATTTGTTGAGGATTCATATTCATCCAATGTTCTCTCTCAAACAAACTATAAAATGTTATATAATTTTTTATTGTTAGTATATTAATTTCACATAAATTAATTAAGATGATAAATTAATATGAGAAATTATAGAGAGTTACTCATTTGACCCATCCCCGCAATTCCTCACAATTCATTAACACATAATATGAAGCAGCTTTGCGCTCCTCTGTCATCAAGCAACATCTCATAATCTTGGAACCAATAGGTTTGCCAACACATCTAAAGATGGACAGTCCACAATTTGCATCGAATTCACCAATAATATTCCTAAGGGGGCGGTCACTTTTACTGTCAACTCCTTCGTTAATGTAATGTGAGATAAAGTTTGCAATCTCAAACATTATGTAACTCTCACA